AAGTTAAATTCGTGGTAACTAGCTGTCAATTTAGAATGATCAGCTGTCAATAGTTGAGGTGCAGAGCTACCATCATGCAGCAGTAAAGGAATGCAAACCTGGATGTCAAACAGAGTGGGCATGGGTGGCATGCAACTGTCTTTGTGCACTTGTGGATGAAAAAAGGTGGCTGTACCAGAGGGCCTGTTTTTGTACTCTGGTTGGTGGGGAACTCGAAGTTCATTAGCTGCACCATTACACAAACGCATCATTAAACTGGACTGGACGCCAGAAACTAGGAAACAGAAACTGGACTGACTGGGAACCTGTGGGTTGGACATTGTGTTTTGCCGACGTGGCACTAGCCTCTCTTAGTATCTAAGATAGAGTTGATTCATTTGTTTCTTTAGATGCAGGGACGCACGCACTGACGATATTTTTCCAAACCAGACCTGCCACGTTTTTAATGACGATGGGGTTGATCCATCTTTTGTACCAGTCGAAATGTAATGTCCTGATGCTCTTGATCATGGACAGAAAAAACTCGCAAGCGGCACGCCCAGGGGTTACTGGTAAGCTCCGCTTTGTAAACCAAAAATAACAATTCCTCATGGTGGATGACCCGTTTGTCATCAATCAGATCCACATGGTATTCCTTGATCCATCTCAAAAGGGCAAAAATGTGGGGGTTCTCATCTTCATCCAGGACGTAGTATCCACTCGCGCCGCGGGGTTCTTCAATCAGGAACTCATACTCACCGGTTGGATGTCCAAGGCACCACGAACATCCTTGGATTTTGTTTTTCGTTGGGATATGTTTTAATGCAACACAGTAGGAATTAATGTAGCCAAAGGTGCCCATGATCGTTTTGATGCGATCTGTGTCTCCACCCGCCATGAAGGAAAAACAAATTGCTAAGTCTTGTTTGAGAAACTGCAGTACAACAGCAACCGATTTTCATTCCAAATTTACCAACACGAAACAAACCAATCAATGTCAGCAAATTTGGCCTTCACATCTTGGACAGGACAAAGGCTCAGCATCGTTCTTTTTCAGCAGCCCTCGTATCCTTTATTCACATCCAAGGCGTTTTAAGCAAAACGCGCCACAGAAACATCTGCACACATGTTCAACATGTGTGGGTACCCCAAAGAACCTGGGTAGTTCACTTAGATCTACCCCTCAAAAAAATCAACCTAAAGCTGGATTCCACTTCTTCCAGCCATGATAAGAGCTCGTGTTTCGCTCACCATCCATGCTGCTTGGGCCTGCTTCATAGTGGAACCTGGGTGGTCTTTGAAGTATTGCCGAACCTGGGTTGATTGTTGAAACATGAAAAGACACAACTGGATGTAAACATGAAAACATCAAAGGTCATGCTGACTGAAAAACAAAAAAACAAGGGATTTACAAAAAGGTAAAGCCTTGTTTGCGCAAAACCAAGAGTCAAAGTCCCAGCGTGCATCATTCATAGCGCTTGAAGCTTTGGGTGCCTGATGAGTTTTTGCCCAAACCATTCAAACCATGATTCCACATGTTTATGTGTGGATTTCTTGTTACACATATATACAATATACATTGAACACATGCTAAAAACTGAACAAACCAAACCCTGTGGGTCCTTGGAAGAACTTAAAGATGCTTTTGCTTTTGGAGCAGGATCTTGGTCATCCACCACGTCATCCTCCTTGCCCCGCAAAACCTTAGAGGTGGAAACGTGTGGTGTTTTGGGTGATTTGCTTTGCGGATGGTTATTGAAAACAAAATAAATACTATGGAACTGCGAATATATAAGGCAAGGGACGCCCTTGGCAGTAAACTTAGCGTGCCATTCCCGGGAATGTTTCCTTTTACGTTCCATCCGGTATTCCATAATCGCGTTCTTCTCCTCATCCGTCATGTCTTGTGTAATGCGTCGTCCTTGCATTTCATCCGAGGCAGGCTCCTGGGATTCATTGTTGTTCTTGGAATTGTTGGCGGAATCATCCATCGGCTCACCAGAATCATCCTTCGAAAGTGGGGCCAAAGAATCCTCATTGCCATTCATGGCAGCCGCATCATTCAAGGACAAGTTGATGGAAGCCGGCGCCGGCATTTCTTCCACAGGGCTGTCAAAGTCCAACTCATGGGGAAACACAAGTTGAGGCATCAAGCGATCATGGCGTCGTACACGGCCAGAAGAACCCGAATTCACCTGGAATAGAAAATGGAATAGAAAATTGAACCATCTAAAAAACTTTCATGAACCATGGGTCCTTTAGAAATAGCAGGTCATTTTGGTTGGGTGGGTTCATGAATGATGAATGGCCTTAGCATCATCCAAAGTATTCCCAGGGCATCGGGCAGGAGTCTGTATGCTGGTTTCCTGTGATTCCTTAGTTGGTCGGTCCATCATGTACTTGCAACAGCCTAGGGCCTACATTCTTGGTGAAAATTCAAAGCACAAAAAACTAAGAAAATATATATAACATCTCCCCAAGTAAGTCTCCTCAAATTGCTCATCAATTTGCGTGTCCTGCCCCATGAGCTGCTCCATCTCAATGCGCATTTGATTGAGATCCACATTCTCTTCCTGAAAGCATCACGAATCATTCATTGGTCCATTAGAAGAATATTAGTCGAAGCCCCCAACCTGCATTGGGCAAGTGTCAGCATCATCAGCTCCGTATTGAGCTTCACGACGTGCAAGTGGGCGGGCAACCCCTGCAACCTGGCAGACTTTCTTAGTTCAGTTCCCTAATCTAAATTTGTATGTTGTCAGCTAATCGTTGGAACCTATTTGGATCCCGTTTAAGAACAATCAGACACACGTGCAAACCAAAAATCAACAAAGCTGAGGAGCAGCGCATTCCTCCACAGGCTTTGCCATGCACATGAACTGTTGCATGCGTGCACTTGGTCGAAACTCAAAGGCATTCTGTCGCTGGAGCTGCTGTGAGCGTGGAAGGCCCACATTCACACTGCGCACAATGTGTTGTCGAACTTGTTGTCCATCATGTTGGCCATTTCCTGGCACAACCATGCTTGGTCGTGCAGCCGTAGTATCTGTAGTGCTCAAATGTTTGCCCATGAGCTTCTTGTTAACTTCCATCGAATCACTCTCAAGATTGATGACGCTGGCGACACCCGCCATGCTGGAACTTCAGGTCGAATCCGGCAAGATGGCCAAAAGGTTGACTTTGTTTTGAGCCCTCATATAACATAATGTAACACAGTGAACACTAAGAAAAGCTCATATTAAACTTGATCGTGAAGGAAACTCTGAACTCTGGTTAAACGCTTTTGTTTTTTCGCTGGCAAGCCTGCGGTAGCAAGAGGTTTCAACCCACCACCTTGTAGTAGCGGTTGGCTTCCATGCTGAAAGCCCTTTTGGCGAACCAAAGCGGCTTGGCCGGTCCAATCACCTTCTCCTTTTGATAGTGGCGCACCCCTGAGCAATCCAAAGACAAGCTGCACATGGCTGAAACCCTTTAAAAGCATCCATCCTATTTTACAAAAACATGCAACGCAACACAAATGGAAATAAATCAAGCAACTCCACACCAGTTGCAAAAATGGAGATGAAGCCAATCCCTGGTAGCCGATCAAGGAGGCGATGTTCGATCCCTTCGCTGACTTTTGAGTCACAGGATTTGGCCTGTATACTGCGTACGACTCGTGTGTCACCTGGATCCTGGTGCAAAATCAGAACACTGAAAAACACAAGTAAGCAGCCAAAAAAATCAAAAGCGTTTTCAAACCTTCAAACATAGATTTCACAATTTCCAATCCCACCTGTCAGTCTCTTCACCTCGCTGCACGGCGGGTGGTCTTTCCGCCTTGTGTCCAGTGATGGTGTATTGTAGTGTGCCACGCTTCTCAATGGTAAAGAGTAACTCATAGAGAGTCATCGGTGATGAGTCACTCACACCTTTTGCCGTAGTTTCCTCCCAAACTACCTCACCAGGAAGACAAAGTGAACATAGCACACTAAGCCTGTAGAGTCCTGCAACTACATGACAGAGTGACATATTGGGAAACTGTAAAAGAACAGAAAAGGATACTCTTTAAAGCAGGTGCAATGTCATCTTGTGACTCCAGCCGAAACTCGATGGCCTTGTTCTCGTTCCCTGCCTTCGTAAGGAATTCCTTCGCCTGCATCAAAAGTTATGAATAGATTTTCATAGCCAACCAACCAACCAACCAACCAACCACCCCACCACCACGACCCACACAAACAACAACACAATAATACCCTGTCCTTCCCGCTCTCTGATATCCAAGATCCTCCTGCATAAAGGAAAAGAGGTCGTGGGTTCTGGGACTTCAGCCCAGGAAGTGTGATCTTGGCCCCGGACATGATGTAGACCTTGTCCTCTGCCAGGCAACAAGTCAAATTCGCTCCCACATTCAATGTCACCGTTGCAACCAGTGTGGGATGCTTGGTCTGAAATTCCTCTGCGGTCAATGATGGCGGGGCATCACACAGTGTCTCTGAAGTCGGAACTGTCTGCTTCTCCAAATCTGGATTTGTATTCACCGTGACCGCTGGTGCCTGCGCTGGTTCTTGCGTATTCGCCACTGGTGCAAAGACAGCGTCAAAGTTCTTCAATCGTTGCCGCCAATCAGGATCTTGGATAAATGAGCACAACAATGCAAGCAACAACCAAAAGCCATACAAACAAGTGAGAACAAAACATGCAACCAAAAAACTATTTCTATGCGCAATCAAACTGAGTTGCTGCGTACTGGACAGTTGAGCCATCTTTCACGGACATCTTTTGGTAGCGCAAGATGTCCGTTGCTCATGGTGCACAACTTCAACACTGGTTCACGAGGCTTGGAGTACTCGCTCAAATCAGCGCTTGCTTGAAACTTCTGCTGCTGTTGGCCCATAAGTCCCTGACCCGCCTTCCACTCCTCAATCAACTTGTCTTTGACCTGCTCCACAACATATTGAGCCAATGTTGGGTTGCTAGTCTCCGAATAGAACCCCAGATAGACCTCCTGCTGCAGTTCCTTCATGAGGTCCAAGGCAACCTTCGTATTGTCTCCCCGAATTGCCAGTAGATGCTATATAGTGTTTAGAAATTATGAAAAAACTATACAGTAGAAACTGCAATCATACCAGGTGGCACGCTCGAAGGTGCCATCGTATGGGCTGAAATGGTGCAGGCAACAAACCTGCCCCTTCATACTGCTGACCCGCGACAAGGATGCTTCAAGAATGGCCCGCAGCGTGCCCGAACTTGCGACCCACTGCGCCGTTTCTTCTTTGTCCTCACTACTGAATTCCAAAAAAAAAATATATATATACATATTCATAAATAATAGGGCTGCTATGGCCCTTTAAACAACATGTTTTCTATATCTCCAAGCTTCGGTAAGAGACCGTCCAGTCTCATGAGCGAACAAGGTTGTGCTCTCTGGCGTGACATACTCTGAGACTGGCAAAGGACAGCTTGGTTTGCATGCATGCAGACTCCACCAATCATTGCGAGTAAAGACGTTTGAATCCTGCAATGGCCTCTCAGAGTTGCGTGGTGCTTTGTATAAGGTTCCCAAGCGTGATCCCAAGGTACAATCTTGCACCACCATCCATGCGGGCAAACTGGCTGGAAATGTTCTGAGTTGATTGTCTGGGCCGGGAATATAAATTTCAAGGACCAAGATTTAAACTCAAACATCAACACAAATAACAATGTTGTGATTATATAATAGGGAAGGTTCCGGTTGCCATGAGTGCTGCTCACATCGAACAGCACTTGCACCAACTTCATCTCGAGGTGAAGACTGTCAAGCTTGTCTTCCATCCTCCTGTGTCGTGTTGTTCTTTCAATACTATAAATAAGCAAGAATACTGGAGCTAGTGAATGAAAGCCTTTGGGATCATAAAACAAAAACATATATATATATACACAATGTTTGGTCCCTATATATCTCTTGCTCGCCTGAACTCTCCGCGGAGTCCATTGAGGACTCCGTCCCCTGCAAGCATGGGACAGATGATCAGGACCATACCTCAGCTGGAGGCCAAAGATCCCAAACATGTTGTTGAAAAGTCAGAACCACCAATCAAAAACATAAACCTAGAACTTAGAACCATGGTCAACCTCTTTGTCCAAGTTGCTGTACTCAGGGTTTTGGTTGAGGGTTCGAAGTGCCCAGGATGCCACTTCATCGACTTCTGGTACTGATAGTCGGCCCCACTTCGAGAGGTCACAGAAGCCGATGTGATGGACCTTCTCAGTGTCCACGGAATCAAAACCGCAATCCTGGTGCATCCGTCGCAGCAAAGCAGACAATGAATCACGTTGGCCTTTGTCAGTGCAGAGGACCATGGCCCGCTTCTCCATCAACTTGTCTGCAATGACCAGGCCCTGTGTAAGCTGGTCCCGCAAATGTAGGACCTTGAATGGGGCTTGCGTTGTCTTGAACTTTAACAAAATATCAATTTCAACAAAACACTTTTGAAACACCAAGGCCTCCGCAACATGACGGTTGCTTTCAATCTTGTTTTTTCTGAGGTTGTAGTGGACCGCTTCCTTGAAATCATGACTCAAGTTGGCAATCGTCATCTTGTACTCTGCTTCTCGAAAGTTTTCCTTGAACATATGGCTGCAAATTGATCAGGAACAACAACAATTACGCAGCAATAAAGACAACAAAACAACAAAATATTACAGTACAGTGTGTATGTCCAGCTGAGCCTCTTCAGCTTCTTCAACTTCAATTGGGGTATCTGCAGTGGATCCTGACACGGTGCTATTCTTGGCAAGGATCCTCCCAACATGGTCCTGCCACATGGCCACCATCTCGACTGTGACATTGTTCGGCTTTGACATCAACAAAGCATCTAGATCTTGGGTGTAGTCCCTTGGCTGTCTTCAACCCAAAATAACATTCATCGTCATCAGTGATTAAACCACACAAGCAAACACGTACATAAAATGAGACACTAAAAATCTTTGTTTCACTCGAGGGGCCCATTCATGAAAGTCGTGGTCAACTTGCCAATCATCTCCTCTGTAACCTTACAGGGTGATGAGCACTTCCTGATTCACAAACCCTAACCCCCTAAAAAACCCTAAATACACATTCTATTTCCCAGCCAAGGAACACGGGAGTCCTTGCTGCATTCATCAAGCACCCAAGTGAATATGCAGCAGTGCTCTACGTTCTTCGTCCATGTTTCCTCGTTCCACCGCAAACGCGAGCGCATGGACTTCTTCATGCGGCGACAATTCGTGGCCCACCAGTAGTTGTACTTGCGGAAATGGACGGCTTGGCTGCGCTCATTCACCTGTTTTGAAGTTTGGTTTGTGTATGCTGCATGCAGGGTCGAACCTGTTTGATGCGCTTTTTGCAAAATTGTAAAAAACATGCTAAATGCAATTAGGAAGCTGTCAGCAGATTCTGCCAAAACAAAGAGGCTTGTTTTGTAGATTCTCCCAGTTGGTGCCTTTTTGATCTCAACAGTGATTCATTGTAGCCTAGGAGAGAATATCTGGCAAGTAAACTGATGCCACCAACCATCCACACAAAAAGTTTAAGAATAAACATATACATAAGTCTGCCCAGGCACCGGATTCTTCCCACTTATTGTGATTTAAGTGGTCTCTCACAATCTGCCGGCATTCCGCCGACATACCACAAACCACTCCAATGATGGCCGTGGTAACGTCCGCGTTCAGTTGCCACCGTTTGATGGCGGAATTCGCCTGATGATCGTTGTAACGCGCACTTGCCTCCTGGATCAGATCACGGTCGGACTTGTCACTGGCTGACCCAGAGGCTTTCTTCTCAAGCAGGAGTGCTTCAAAACGCATGGCCATTTTCATCACCTTGATAAGGAGTCAGGTTTGTTTTGAACCAGCATCAAGTTTGATAGGAAGCCAATACAGTAAACAAAACAAAATTTCTGGGACCAAAAAGATCTTGGCAAGAAACGTCCTTCCGCTGGCGTTCAGCACCTTGCGTGCTCAATTGCATAGCATCAAATGAGATTGCTTCTGCATTCTGGAATGCTGATATTGAGCTTGGAAGGGAAAACAGCTCACAAATCGCTGGCAAGACTGGCAGGATAAGGTCCTGAACGTTCAAACACCCGAGCATTGAAACTTGAAACAAATTGGAAACTTTTTTAGGTCACACCAGTCCTTCCCAGCAATTGGCTCAAGGTCAGACACCAGAAGCCCTAGGAAGAGTACTGCACTCCTGAACTGTTGGCAGTGTCATAGTGACCTTTTCATGCAAATATTGAAGGATTCATACAACCACTATATAAAAATAAAACAAAACTGTATGTATTGCATTTGCAAGTCTAGCTTCAGCCTTGTGAAACCCTTTTTGATGCCAAGTCGTGGACCGTCTCCATCATCTGGATCTGACAGCACATACACATCCAAAGGTTCCCGATGTAGGCGTGAACCGCTGAACAAAAACGACAGCACTGTTGTCAACCAGTCGTTTATGCAAGGAAGTCCATCTGTTGGAAGGCCAACCATGATGTCTGTGAGAGGAACGGCGCAACTCAAATGTTGACCAGGTGATGTCAATCTGTCCAAATCCTTTGCCGAATGCAAAGGGCATTTCATTCAATAATATTGAACATAAAAAAGCTCAGGTAAAATGACATATTACTATATGACTATGTAATTGTAATGACAGCCTCCAAATATGTTGAAGTTGAGCTGAAACAAGTATCTGGCTTTGAAGCGGATACAAGACGTTGTCCCTGGGCTGTGAGGGCTTCTTCAAGAAAACCATGTAGCTTCTGGCAGGACAAGGCAGCGGTAGCTTTGTCACTGAAGGCATCAATCACCATCTGGCAAGGATGAGGCATGCCGTCTGAATTTGGTGTCCCAGATGTTCCTTCCACAAAGTTGGCCAGGTACTCCAACACTTCCTTTCAGGAATTCAGAAAACTACTATATATATATAGTTAAACCAAAATCTTTATTTTGTTTGTAAGACAGCTTCTTGGTATTGCAATCAGTCCTTGCAAAAGGAAGTGTCCCCCTTGAGTTTCTTTAGTGCTGCTGTCCACTCCGTCTTTGCCTTCTTCACGGCGGGGTCTTTACTTTCCTCAGGCCGAAAGAAAACACTTGCAAACAAACGTTGGAACATCTTAAAATGTTAGGCAGTGGACAACACACACAACATTACCACAACATATGGCTTCAAAACTGGAAAGAATATGTTATAACTTAAAACAAGTTTAGCTTCGATTGGCTTTGTGTCACCATCCTCCTTCTTGGCCACACTGGCAGCCACTGCCCTCAAAGCAGGGCAGTCCATGGCTTTCAGCTGGCTTTGTTTCCAAAATGTCTGCTCATCAGAGAGTAGGCGTAATAAAAAAAATCGGCGTGGGTGGGGGGTGATAGTAGGCGTAATAAGAAAAAGTCGGCGTGGGTGGGGGGTGATAGTAGGCGTAATAAGAAAAAGTCGGCGTGGGTGGGGGGTAGCATAAGCAAAAGTCGGCGTGGGTGAGGGGTAGGGTAGCTCAAAGTCGGCGTGGTTCTGCCCCAGACCCACAGAGACTTTTAACTATAGAACCTGACGTTGCTATCAGACCCCCATCGAAAGTTTGGTCGCTAAGTCTTATCAAAGTCGATGGGGTTCTGCCCCAGACCCCCAGCGATCTATAGGGACGTACCCCCCCCCACATTGAGATCAAGATTTTGGAAAAAGTCATTTTCAATGGAGGGGGGGTTACGGCCCTATAGATCGATGGGGTTCTGCCCCAGACCCCCAGGGAAATTTCAGTCGCTAAGTGTTATCAAAATCGATGGGGGTGCTATCAAAGTTGACGAGTTTGGAAAGGTTTTTTTCTCCACCAGCTTGTCACTAGTCAGCGCTGTCATCCTCTTCCTGCTGGCCAGCCTTAGCGAAAAGGTGAGAGTTCAACCTGTGAACCAACTCCTTGGACAACTCTGTTGAGAATCAAATGTGGTAAACATTCATCACCTATCACTTGTTTTCTTTTGCTCTTGCTGCATGTCTCACCTACCACGGCGCCACACAGCACGCAAAGGCACTGATGGCGCCAAAACAGCTAGAACACATGGATGTGGAAGCTCCTGCTGTTGTGGCATCGCTTCTACTTCAAAATCAGCTTCATGCCAAGCTAATGGCAGCAGACCTTCATCTGGTAAGGTGTTGTTGGCAAGGTCTCGCAAATAGGCCGCAGCTCTTCTAGATGCCTCAGGGCCACCAAGGATCCTCTCAAAGATATCAGCCAAAGACCGCCAGTCGCTCACTGCAGCTGGTTTGACAGGTCTGAAAGGCATGACACCTTCAGTTGGTCCCACAGAACTCTTATAGCATCATGCCCTCAACAACCTTGAGGTCTATATGCTTACAAATGATCATCTAGAAACTTGCTGGAACCGTTGAACTTGGAAAAGTAGAAAACGTATATATGTTGGAAATGAGCTAAGGAACGGTTGGTCAGCAAAGGATACTTACCCACATCTTCCGCACAGGACACCAATAAAGGTTCTTGTCGCAGGGCTTGGCTGCAAATGTATTCCTTCACCAATGCAACAACGTCATTGTCATGTTTTGGTCTCCGGGTCTTGCTGCCCTCGTTGACTTCCATGCCAGCAGGCAAATCTGATGGTCAGGGTGATTGTTGGAAAGCTTCGGACCCTAAGGTGGGAACCTATATCCTCACTGGCGCAAAACTTGCCTTAAGTTCTTGTCCTCACTGGCGCAAAACTTGCCTTAAGTTCTTGAGTTTGTTCAATGGTCCACTCCCCTTGCCTTTGCGCTTGCAGAACATGAAGAAGTGGTTTGCTTGCCGGTCATGTAGCAGACCGCCCTCCTGATGCTGGAGGTTGATAAGTTTGATAGCTATCATAAGCTATTTAGAAATTGGTGTGACACAAAACACGGATCAAACGTTGACGTCCAGGGTCTAAGCAATGCCTAAGGTTCCAAGCTAACAGGAGCATGTTCTTCGCAATGTGATTTCCAATCTCTGTATTTTCGCAAAACATGGACGATGACTTTGCCATTGATCCATTTTTGCAGTGAACTTTTGTTGAGTTCATCCCGGATGATGTCACATGCCGAGTCAGCGTCCACCATTTGACTTGACCGCCCTAGCCTTCTCGACAATAATCCCCAAAGTTGGTCTGAGATGAGATCAAATGCTCAACCACCAAAAACACATCCAAAGTCCGAGTAATCACCAAAGAAGTGTCAGTGCGAAGAAAAGTTGTTCTGTAGCCAGCCCAGTCACCAATCATGTCGTGGGTATGTGAAACCCGGAACATGCACGCGCACGCAAACCTTAGTGTGTCATCCAGCATTACTGCAAAAAATCCATAACAAGTGTGCACAGGCAAGGTGTATATATAAGAACACCAAGCAGCTTTAGCCGGAGATGGCTGACATAATTTGAGAGCATGGAAAGGCAGAATTTGTTCTTCAGCTCCTTCACCGTGTTGTCGCCTACCAATATCAAGCATTCTGGCTTGACCTTGCAATAGGTAAAAGCATCCTCCATCGCCAGTGCTATCAGCTCGCAAATGAGGGCTGATCCAGCTCGCTGGTTCTCTTCGATAATTGCAATCCGCAAACTGACTCCATAGGTCCAAATGCCGTGGATCTTCAAGCGTGGCCTGATTTGTTTTGCAGAACGGTATGCGGTCTTGAGGGACGGATCCCTCGGAATCATGTATTTCGCCTTAATTTGGCAGACAATGAATGACAGACAATGAATGACAAAAAACCAAACACTTGTACTACATCTGGAACAAATCAGCAAAATCAAGTTGTTGAACTGATCCAAAAAACCTGGTCTGCGCCGTCCGTACAGCATGTTATGGTTCGGGACATAGCATCTGCAGATATGTCTCTGAGTGAGTAGAACGCGCAGCGATCAGAAAACTGATCGAGGAGGTGCTTGCGGTACAATGACAGAGCATTCAAACGGGTTTCAAAGTTGAGCTCTTTGTCTTGGAACCTTATCATCTAACACGCTGGCACTCCATACCGATGTGGAGAGTATTACAAACAATCTTTGTTTGTTCTTTGTTCTTTTGAACAAATCTCGACCTACCGACCGACCTAATAGATAGACAGACGGACAAACATATACACATAGACAGACAAACATATACATAATGCGCACTTACTGTTTCAAAAGCATCGTTGGAACATTTTGTCATATTGGGGGTACGAAAGAAGAGCTGTCCCAAGTCATTAACCAGGGAGCTGGTACTTCAACTCCTGACAAACGTCGCATTGTGAGAAGGCCGTTTTGTCCCTGTACTTCAACACCAACGTCCACTTCGAGTTCCATACCCTCAACCAAGTGCCATACCTGTTTTGCATTTGGACCAAATCTTCACGAAGATTCCAGGTACATCAAAACACAAATATATAAAAACATGACAGATGCACACAATCAAAAAATACAGGTATATAATATACAAGTTGCGAGGCCACTTTTTCAATGTTGTGTGCTGCGCACCAACCACAATAATATTGGTAAGTTTCGAAGTATGTACCCGGTGGTAAATATTTGCGAACCAAGCCAGAAACATCCTTACTTCCCACGCAGAAAGGAACAATTAACATCTTCTCAATGTTTGGCGCCTGCTGAAACCAACAAAAACAAATGCTTGCTAAAATGACGCTGAAGGTCGGTAAGGCCTGCTGTCTTGGTGACTGTCAAGAGGAACGATGTATTTGCCTGCAAAAATTGGGAGAGTTCAGCATCGTCCTCTTCAAATTCACTGTGAAATTCTATTCCACCATGGCCCCATCCATCACTTCCAGAATCAGGCCCAACAGTCGCAGGAGGTGAGCCTTTCATGCGCTTCGCGGGGCCTTTGCGCACCAGCCTGATGGGTTCCAAAACTTAACCCAAAGACAAAAATATCATGCGCCGAAAAAATCAAACAGGGGCTCTCAATCCAGCCTGTCCGGCAATGGCTCTGCCACCGAATTGTACAGCACTGTGCAAAAAGCATCAATTGAAGCGGTCAGCTCCGAAGGTCGACGAGCTTGCTGTCCATACCGGGCATCAATACTTCCGATTCGATCAATTCTGTGCGAGCTGACACCTAAGAGACTTTGGAAGCAAACTCTCCGAAGGTGGTTGCCCAAAAAGAAATAGTCTGTCCGCTTCTTTTGGAATGGCTTTGCCTCGGCAGTGTCCTGCGCCAGAACCAGAATACTGTCCTGTTCCAATTTGCTTCGGGCTTCAAAGGTATTCAAAAAGTCCATCACAGGTTGGAAGCTGAGGTTTTTGTAGCATGTGCGGTCAGCACATTTGCAAGGATTGTGAAGAAGCCTTCTCACACGGTCCTTGGCATGAATGAAGGTTGTATCAAAGATACAGTTATATTATATGAATTATATGTTTTTGATATGATTTTTCCTTCCTCAATATTCATAGCTCACACAAAAGGAAACAGTTGATGGGCAATCATCATTCCAGAGTCTGGGTCGTTTCGTGCAGTTCTTTGCTCACGGTTCAGACTGGACTTCTCTTGGTCTGTTTCAAGCTTTCTTGCCTTTGCCTTTGCCGCTCTGGTGGTGTTATTGTAGCATCTCTTCTTCTTTTGCGACGGCTCTCCAACTTGCATGGTCTTGGCAGCTGTGCTCAGCTGGCTTTGAAGAAAGGTTGTCATGGTTTCAAACGACAACTTCACAAAAGATTTGTGAGTACCAGTGGCCACATCGTCCACATCGGCAAAATAGTCCTGCGAGTCTCCTGATGCCACGCTCGAGCATTCATCAGGTTCGTCTCCAAATAGTGTCACGTCATGGTTGGAGGGTCCAGCTGCTGAAGAGGCGCAAGAGGCTGAAGGATGTCGTGGTGGTTCA